CCTGAAAAAACATTTGCTTGTCAAGAAGCGAGTCTATGATGAGACGCCGTTTCGGATGCGCGTGAAAAAGCAGCAGCAGCAGCAGCAGCAGCAGCAGCAGCAGCGGCAGCAGCAGCAGCAGCAGCAGCCGAAAAGCAGCAGCAGCAGCAGCCGCGGCGACGGCGGCGGCGGCCGCAGCAGCAGCAGTAGCAGCAGCAGCTGTGGTAGCGGTAGCAGTAGCAGTGGCAGCGGCAGTCATCGTAGTAGTGTGGCAGTCGTGGTAGGACTAGCAGCAGTGGTGATGCCAAGTCCTCGAAAAGCACTCATTGCTTCGACAGGTGGACGACCGAAAGCCTTTAAATGCTAAGCCTTGAACACAAAATTTCGGCCCTAAAGCCAACATTTCTCAACCAGGACCCCCAAGCCCTAAGCCTTAGCCTGAAAGTCGTCCCGAGATCATTCTTTGGTACCTCAGTGCCTGGGGCTCCCCTCGCCGAGGCCAGGTCTGGTTCGGGTTCAATGAATCGGACCTTAGGGGGGTATATTGGTATATTGTACTGTAATCAATATGATCGAATGGCCCCTCCGGTAGCATGGGCTCACCAGAGGCTTGGGTTTGCGGTCCATGGTTTCAGGGTTTCAGGTTTTCGGGCTTGGGGTTTCTAGAATTTAGGCAGCGGGGGTATAGGGATTTTAGGTCTGGCGAGCTTTGGAAACACGCAGTCCCAAACAAACTGTAACAAGTTTCAGCGAGCTGCTAGAGATGCATGGCTTTCGGCCCCCAAGCTCTGCGCCCCAGGCTCCCGACCGGACCGAGACTAAAGATCTTGAACACACAGCCCTCTAGCAGACTCGGCTTCGGAGGTATGGGACTAGTTTCCGGTTGCCGGATAAAAGCTATCACCATCACCATCACCACCACTGCGACCAGCATACAAGAACTGCAGTACTTAATCCGTTCACCCGAGCAGCGCCTCGAAGTCAACAAACTAGGTAAGTAGGGGATCAGACATCGGGGCTTCAATTGCCTTCAGCGCGGCTCTGCTTTCGCCCCGGCCCTCACCCAACCCGAACTCCAAACCTCTAGCCCCGAGCCTCTGAATACGATGGGGAGTTTGAGGCGGCTGGTTCTACGCGCCACCTGCCAGCAGTTGAGAGATTAGGTATGCAGAGTGCAGGGTCTGTAGCCTAAAGTTTCCGGTTCTTTACTTTTAGAAGCTTTCACGGCTACAGGTTGGGTTGAGGGTTCGGGTGTTCCGAGCCTTCGAGGCTTTCAAATTCGTCTTGCGAGGGCGCGATCCTGAAACATACACTTGCTATCCCCACTCCACACCCGAGACCCAAAGACCCAAAGTCAGCAGTGTTGAGGCTCTTTTAAGTCCCGAAGCTATAATTATTTTTGGAGTTTCGCGGTTTAGGGGTTTTTAGGTTCTGGGGTTTGGGGCTGTGGAATGTTAGGGTGTGGGGTTACAAGATCCCACGGGGACTGGTTCTCAGGATGTAGGGCGTGTGGAAGTGTTTTGTGCTAATTCGCCTTTTGGAGTTGTAGGAGAACCAACGTTGTTACGGAACACCCCTCCCATATCTGTCCCCTACTTGGTTTGTTTATGAGAGCTACTTGGCAACCAACTGGTCCCTTACGGCTATCTGTAACAGCTGCACCACCGTGATAGCGATTCCGAAGCTCCGAACCCCCTCAACATAAAGCTAAAACCCGAACCCCGTGCGCACGCCCGTCCATGCTCTAAACGTTAAACCTGCAAAACACCTGAACCCCTCTCCCCCCAAAAGCCTTGAAGAGCCCCAAGCCCTAAGCTCTCAGCGCAGATGCGATCAGAAAGCTGAGAAGCGATTCCAAGAGAAGCCTTAGCCGCTAGGCCAAAAGCCACAAAAGTCCGAGGCTGTCAGAAAACATCATGAACACGCCAATTCCAATTCACATTCCCGGCTCTATCTAAAGCCAAAAGCCCGTGCTTCAAATTAACATGCCCACAACCGACCCGAAGTATCACTCTAAAGCACGAACCTGTGAGGCCGTACTGTCCCAGCTCGGAGCACAAGGACCGAGACAGCTTAGCGTCTGGGACGATGGCTTTGTTATGGGGCTTAGGCTTGGGGTTGGGGTTTAAAGGATGTGATTAGTGTCGGCTGATGTGTGAATAGCTCGGTCAAAGGGGCAGGGTCGAGAGTTTTTTTGTTTCTGTCTGTGGCTGGTAGGGCTCTAGGCACAGGCTTTGTCCTAAAAGCTGGACCGAAGGCATTCGAAGCTCAAAAGATGTCAACACGGAAGCTCGGACCGCTAAATCCTTAACCCTCAGCCCTTGCCGGAACCCTGATCGAACTTCACCCCCCAGCCCCATATTTCTATCATGGTATACACCACCACCCTATTCTAACTACCAGGGCCCCTTTTGATCGACCCTAAATCCTGAAAGCCCAAGACTCTAAACACTACGTTCACCATGCATCCTTACAGCAGTCGCCCTTGCGGTAGCCATCATACGAACCATCCTGGTTACCCCTCATAAGCAGGAGATGTCCGTAAACCCTGAAGCAGGAGATGTTTCGCTTGGGCTTCTCGTTCTGGTGCTTCGCGAATTCCGGCCTCACGCACGACCGGGCCTTGGGAGGAGTGTTTATGGCGGTCTTTCATGGAGTTTAAGGTTTGGGTTCCGGGTTTAGGGTTTAGGGTCTGTGTGGGTTTCTAGAGCTTAAACAGCATTTTTCTGAAGAAAGTCTATTCCGCTTAGGCGTACATTGCCCCGAGTAATTCAGGAAGTGGGAATTGTTCAGACGCAACGCGTTGATCAACAAGCAAGGCTTGTTAAGCCGTTAGAAGTCGGTGGTGGGAACATGTGCATGAACCAGTCTTCTGCAACCGTGCTTTGCTCTCAATCAGGGTTCTTCTTAACTAGAAGAGCATGGTTGAGGAAATCGGGGCTTCAATATTTAGGGAGATTTTCCATATCATCCCGATGGTGGACAAGCCGTCCAAGCCGTATTCCAGTCGCTGAGGCAGGCATGCCGATTCATGTTTTACTCGAACGACCGGTAAGTTTTGTGGCTCGATGACAAGGGCCCTCGTAGCGACTAGTGCGACCTCAGGCTTGTCTCTCTTCTTTCACGCTCTTCGCTTTCTCTCCTCTCAGTCGCCCACGGCCCCGTCTGACCCGTCTCCTCCGTCTTTTCTGGAATCGCCGCTAGATCAGATCTGCCCAGCCGAGCGCTCAGACATTGAGGTGGCACTTTATTCTGGGATTCATTTGCCATCTATTTGTGTTGGGATCCTGATTGGGCTGCTTTTGGTGCCTGTGTGTGAAGCCATCCTCACCGCCCGCATTTTGCTGTTCAGAGCAGCCTTGCGGCGATTGGGGTTCAATTCTAGGACTCCGCTCTATCGGCTGCTGTGAGCTGGCACACGGTGCATGAGCAGGGGAAGTTATCCTTCTGCTCGGGACTTCGAGGCTTTGTGGGCCGAGGTGTCCAGTCTTCGATCCGAGGTGCTGCGCTTGCAAGCCCGAGTTGCCGAGCTTGAGGACCTGAACCAGGGGTTTTCTTTGGTGGACAGCTCGGAGGCTGCTGGGGTGTCGGGCTCGATTGGTCCTGCACGGGGTCCTTCGGCTTCGGCGGCTTTGCCTTCGACCGCTGCTTTGGCACCACCTTCGGATCGGGACAGGGTCGGGATTTGCAAGCGAGTGGGCGAATTCTTGAGGCGAGCCCTGGACGGAGGGCACCGAGGTGTTTCCGGACGCGATTCTTTGGAGCTGGCTTCGAGGCATTGGGTGGTTATCCGTGATTTTCAGGGGCGGGTTCACTCGCCTCCCTTGGTCTTTTCGCGCTTCTCTGACTGCAAAGCATTGGTGAAGCGAGGGCAAGACGTCGGAGATTCGGTTTTCATCGGCCTCCCGAGCAAGGGAGATATCAAGGTAGCCCTTCAGGCAGGAGGCTTTGAGCTTCCCCTGGACCTATGAGTGCCGAAGAGGGTGAGGAGGACGGGGTCGACGGCAGGACCCTGTACCTCTACGACGGGGAGACTGCCGACTGTGAGTTTGAAGTGGGCGTGCTCAGGGTCCTCGTTGCCGAGGGCTCCCCCGAGGTCTTGGTTGAGGTGATCTTGATTTGCGAGCTGGAGGGCCGTTCTCTTGTGGCTGTTCCGCAAGGGGGCTGGCACAGGCGGGCTACTAACCGTAGTTTGCCTCCTGGTTCCCTGAGCAAGCCGGTTGCTGTGGAGGTGGCCGGTGCTGCTCGGGACGACAGACAGACTTTGCTGGTAAATCAACGTCTCAAGGTATGGCTTGGTTTCCTTCGAGATTCCCTGGTGGAGGCTTTGGTCTTCGAGCACGACGGCGAGGTGGACGTGGCCTTCGCCACGTTGGGCGGAGAGTCTGGGTTTGTGCCCCATGCCGAGGCCCTGATGGAAGTGGCGAAAGACAAGTTCCAGTTTGCCACGGCCACCGAGGGCGAAGCGCCACCTATGCCTGCTGCCCAACCTCAAGCGGCGGAAGCTGCAATGGAAGCTCGACTCGCAAAGCTGGAGCAATCGATTGCTACGATCGCTTCGTCGATGCAAGCTCTCACCTTGGATCGTGTGGAGAAGGCAAAGCCTCCACCTCCGCCTCGGCCTCCCCAGGCGGTGGAAAGCCTCCCGGGCTTGGACCCCGGGGTTGTGAAATCTGCTCTGACGGCGGGTATCGACATGTCCCAGCTGTTGGCCGGCAACCCTGCGCGGCGCCTGAAAGACCCAGGGGCTGGTGTGGTTCCGAAGAAGGCGGCCTTGGACGAGTCGGAGAACGAAGGCCCGCCCGACGACCCGGAGGAGGCGGTTATCGAGGCCGAGCTGCGAACGGCTCTCTCCCGAGATCCCATGAGCGACGCCCTGGTGAAGCTCACCACCCTTGTGGAGGATCTGCAGACTCAGAAGACAAAGCGAGGTTCTCGACTGGAGCAAGCCTTGGAAGGCGCAGC